TATAAAGCAGCAAAAGGAATTTGGTAATTTAAACAACACACTATGATAGGAGGAGTTGTTAACAAATACATACTGATTTCTTCACTTCCAAGCAGAGTCACCTCCCTTTCTTCCTGGCACATCCACTGTTTTCCTTCGGCTTTTGGAATTGTGCAAGAGCATAATCCTGGTTACGCAGAAGCCATCAGGTTCTTGCTCAGGACTGGCATTTAATTTGACTTGAAATCCTTTTAAGTTGCTTGGTATCTTAAAACACTATCTAGAAACCTAGAAATTATTAAGTCAGACTAACCTGTTCCACTACCAAACCAGCAGAAGCAGACAACTTACCAGGAATGCTTGTGATCCACCAGTCGACACCGTTCTGCAGAGAAAGATGAAAGGTATGGCTCTGTTCAAGGTTCCACACATCCAGCAAATGCCTCTCCTACGCTGAAAGGCCTGACAAAATCAGGGGCTATTCCACTTCCAGTAATGGGAGAGAAAGAAACAGGGTCAACTTCCCTCAAGCTATCCCTCTGTAGAACTGCTCCTCCTAGTTCCATCAGCTAGCCCAACCCTAAAATTTCAGTGTGGTCCAACAATGCTGCTCCCTGGAATAGCTTCTACTGTTAGGATTAAATTTTGTCCTTTTAATATTTTCAAGGTCTTTCTTCTAGATATCTGCTACCTTAAATTCAGTTGAAAAAAATACTTTCTACTTTAAAATCTGTAAAGATCTATGCATCTTTGGTTATTCTTATTAAAACTGAAGAACAGTGACCAAAGAGTGACCATCTACATGGTTATAAATAACTTAAATATCACAGATCACTGTTCTGATACCAAACAGCATGAGAAGTACACTCAGTGCCACAGTTTTCATGTTAAAAGGGAAACCGAGTTGCTTCTGTGATGACTTAATTCCACTGCTCAATAAAGTCAGAGGCTAAAATTTATTCATCTTCACATGTAGGCAGAAAATTAGCCTGTGACTTCCACAGCAGCAACGCGAGGTTGTACCCATAACTGTGCCTTCTTAACTTTCTGAAGAATAATAATATGATCACTATTCCTAAAGTCAGGCTTTGTTAATATAACTTAATATTGAAGCAATATTAACACATTCAATTCATTTTATGTACCTAAAATTTACTCTGGCAATAGCTAAAACTTACTATTAGGAAGAGTTTATAAACTTGACACATTTCCAAGCCTCCCAAACAACTTCCCTTTCCCTCAACAATGTAATTAGTTACATTACCTCAAACTGCAACTTTTGGGGAAAAAAAAGGCATTGGACAAACTTTGCTCCTGAAGAACTCTGAACACTGCCACTCTGTGGATGCTGAAATGTTTTAAGCTTTCCATATTTTGGTCAACGAAGAGAATAGACAGGTGAAGAAAATTTTCCACTTAAAGGCCACCAAAACCAAAGCACCACCATGTAAGAAAGAAGAGGCTGCAGCTAGAACAGCACGGGCTTAAGAGAATGCTCTGCAAACAGATCATATCAGGGGAAGTGCCAACAAAGAGGCATTTCCTGACAGTAAACCAGGACCTTGCCACAATGTGGATTTTTTTGTTATTTTGGAAACATACACTGCTACAAACATCTGTTCTCCTCCTACCCCTAATAAGGGATTTAACAATTTTCTACAGTATATCCTTCAGAGATTATTTTAGTGTGAAGTTAGTAAGTGTAATTCACCTTACAGCAACTCACTTCCTTAAAAACACCAGTTAAAACATTTTGCCTAAGCACTGATTGCATTTTACATGGAAACATCCCTGATTTAGTGAATATGTACCATGTAATTAGTTCTTTCCTCTAATTTATTTAGTGAATACGTACTATGTAATTCAAGTTATTAATATTTACACCAAAACAGTTATTTACCTGAAGCCCCTACATAACATACCACGCGACACACTGAAATTTGGCAGGTAAAAAGGGACAAGAGATTCAGAAACGTAACTTTCTTCCAATGATCTTCTTCACCTTTTGATGAAACCTGGAGTGTACACACAAAGACACACTGAATACAAGACTGTTGCAAGTTTAATGTTTATTTCCCCAAGACAGCCTAGCCTGCACTCTACTTGGATAAATTTCACAAGCTAGTTTCCGCTGCTTCTAGTTTTAAACTTTAACCATGTTTCTGATGACAAGGAATGCTGCAAAAATACTCTAGTCCAACAAAGAGTTATGATCACAAAATAATCTTTATCCATTCTACAGTGTTTTCAGAATTACCAGTTGATTTTTAAAACACAAGGTATAGATAGATGCTAATGGTGGCTAATCTGGTATGTTTTATTATAGCAAACTGTTGTTCATGCAACACTTGTGCTCAAAGGGGAAGGCACAGCATTTCCTACAATGAGCCACCTTATAAAGAGTTCATTTTGTACAAATTTGTAACTTCAACCTTTAATTTAGTGTGCAGAACCTCAAAACTGAGGTGTTACTCCAATTATAAAAACACTTGCATCCTTTTTGTGCAAGTTTTAAAAATACAAAGTTTTCTCTCTAAAGTGGCTCAAAATAGATTGTTCATGGCTGCCTACATCTAAGATAAAAAGAGTCTAAAACAATTGGATTAGGCATATTAAAGGTGTTCAAACCATGACTTGATTTGTACATCTATTCACACCTCTTTTTTTTTTTTCTCTCTCTCCGGTCTTTATTCGGCAGTACATATGCACCAAATTTCAATTTTAGAAGTTTCCATATCATTTTCATAGAAAACAAAGTTTGAAAACAAGTAACATTGAAACACAGCACGGTATCCTACCACAACGGAAACATCTGGTTACAGGACTCAACAAAATCTAAAAATGAACTATGCTGGAGATTACCACATGCAAAGGTCTTCATGTTATCTTTGAAAATGAAAAGGATGAGTTTGTTTTTTTTTTTTTAATTACCACATTTTAACTGCTTTCTACTATTATGGCAACTTGTGTACTGCAACACAGTCTAGTTGAAGGGAAATGTATGGTTTTTGGTTTTTTTTTCCATGCAAAAAAATCTACAAATTAGTTTTGATGATATGGAAAGCTTTTCAGAACATCCAACATTCATCTGGTGCAAATGCACAGGGAAGCCTTCCTGAAATTCTGACTTTACAAATAACTAATAAGCCATACAGGAAAGAAATTAAAAATAATTCAAAAGAAAAATAAGAGGGGGAAAAAAAAAAAAAAAACCAAAACCAACCCAAAACAAAACAACAACAAAAACAACCCCAAAAAGAAACACAGGCTGCAGGAGTAAACCAGAGTCTGCTGCTAAACCGGTCTTTGTTTTTGTGTCCAGTGTAAGTTTAACACTTATGAACTCATTTTGATGATTTTACTAGGTTTATTATCAGCCCCCTGAAGGCGAATCAAGCTTGCATGCGTTCACATACAGCATCACAACCATACTCTCGTACACACGCCACTCCAGGACTAGGAGCCTGGCTTCAGGACCGAAGAGCCCCGTATTTGAAACGTGAGCCTGGCTCCACAGCATCGAGTCCAGACATTCACTCAACGTTGTCCATTCACACGGTGCTTCATAGCAAGGCCTGGGCTCATTTCTCCTTGGACTTATATGGGCATCCTATTCTCTTATGCTTACAAGGCTTGATGATGATAGTACTGCATTTTTTCCCCCCAAATTGCTCTAGTAAGTCATTGTTCCTTCTCAGGCACTGAAGATCTTTGACCTGTAGCCCTTTTTCTTTGAACAATCTAAATAAGCATTCAGTGTGAAGTTTTTCATTACATTTTGCCACTCATTCTCACTCGCACCCACTCGCCATCTTGACTTCATTTGGGCTTTTCTGTGATTCCAAATGAAATCTTCACATTTTCTTTCCCGATTTAATGCAGCAGCGGATCCCATGAGCCAAGATTGATGGATCAAACCTTTTTTTTTTTGTTTTTTTTTATTCAGTGCTGCATTGTACCTAACTTCCAAAATACCACTCTAAAACTGGAACCCTTCTGCTGGTACATTGGCAGATGAATTGAAACCAAATGTTCCGCCTGGTATTGCTTCTGGAACAAGGCTAGGATCTTCATCAATCTGTAACAGAAGGAGAACATCATGAGTAAGAACAGAAAGACAAAAGCCTCACTTAGAAGGAGCCAGACAAAGCTATAGAACACCTCTCTCTTCACCTAATCTACTTCCTTGCATCAAGTTTTGCCATTCCTCTCCCTCAATTTAGTAAGAGCACTTTAATGATGAAGTAATTCAGGCTGACATGGTTTAGCACGTATTTAGGCTACATCACACCCAAGAGTCTCTCTTGTTTATGCAGTTTTCACTCCTGGAAAGCATTCTGTCAGTCATGCATCATTATTGACAGCTTATAAACTGTCAGAGTTCTTAAGAGAAGACCAATACCATTATATCAAGTAAGGATTAAGCCAAAATTGCAGTTTCAATTTAGTAGTGTACAGGTTACTAAACTGACACGAGATTCAATTCCAAGTCCTGCTGTTTGTCCTGCAAAATTTGTGTTGCTTAACAAGACTCACATCTTATTGTTGATAGAACAGCAAAACTCGAGCACAAAATAAACTTCAGTGTGGACAGCAGGGAATGGAAGTGACTGAACTCTCTCACTGCTGCAGTAATCTGCTCCCCAAAGTTCTTCAGCCAAGTAGAAAACCCTCTTGCTTCATGATACAGACTGACATGACTGCATTTCCTTTACAGGCAATTAACTTTGATGATTTAAAGTCCATACAAACCTAAAACCTTCCTTTGATTTATGTTGCATGTTTAAATTGAAAACAACGCTCTTGATCAGGACATCCTACCTCTGAAATTACTAAAATATCCAAAATAAGTTTGCTTCTTCAGAAGTAGAATCTCAGATTCAGTATTCAAGTCAGCAGGGAACTTATCAAATGTGAAATGTCAGGCTTAGTCAGAAGCTGACAGTTCCGAGAACTATTCAAAGCTTAATATTTTAATCCCTAGAGATGAGGCTTAAATAAGGCATCAGATCTTTAGATACTTAATCATGAAGAATGGTAAGAAATGCAATAGGTTCAACTAAGGACTCCTCCTTCACTGAAAAACCAAGCAAATGCCACAGACAGACTGTAGAGCTGTTGCCTCTATCTCCAACCATATTTATAAACATAAAAAAAATGACAAAAGCAGATTGCAGAACTATTACACACATCATCTGAAGAGAAGAATTGATCAATGATCTCATAAGCCAGTTTGTAGATGTCTTCATTTTCATGGTTTTGTAGTTGTTCAATTTTCTCCAGACCTACAACAAATACAAAAGAAACATAATAAGAGTTAAAACACTAAGTTCAGGCAAAACAATTTCCCTTTCCTTAAGGTCTCATCATATGAAGTAATTAGAAATTGAGGAATAGAGTGACTATGATAAGATGCTGTTAAACTTATTTGACATGTTTAAAGCATAAAAGCTTCTTAGAGATTTGAGGAACTATATCAGAGATTGAGGAATAAAACCATGACAAAAGAAAAGTATAAAAGGTCAATTCAACAGATGACAGCACTTTCCTTCTCCTCTTGCTGTGAGTGGTTAAGCTCATCTGTGGAAATATGGTGAGGGCCAAGCACTAGGACATATTCCCTTTCTATATACATATAAATACATATAAATACTTTTTAAGTTCTGACAAGCAGAGTTTCAGGCATGAACACCTCTTTTCTCCCACCCTGGCCATCACTAATCAATTAAGTTTTCCCCTCTCCCTCAAGATTTTGTATTTTAAAGATTATTCAGCTCCATGTTAACAAAAGCACACACAGTTTTTTACCTGTGCTCAAATTTAATGTTACTGTTCTTTCATACTTGAAGAGTTTTAGTCAACTTAAATAGCAACCAATACAGTCTGAAAGTCATCAGGAAATTAAAGCTATCATATTTCTGTCACTGTTGTAAGTAGATTTTATTTTTCCCCCCAAAATTCACCTGCACGACTCGTGCATGTTTAAGGTAAGCATTTAATTCCTACATTAATATAAACTTTATTGTCATTTATCCAGCTCCTCCACATTTTATTTGATCATAAACTCAGTCAGAAAAAGTAATGTATAATCACCTGATCGACATGAAAAGGTCACTTTTAAAAATAGTTTTGCTTAAAGCATTTGTGCCAACACCATATACACATGGTAGGAAGCCAAACCATCAATTTCTGAAAAAAAAAAAGCCCCCAAAAACCCAAACAAAAAACTACCCCACCCCCAGTATCAAAACATGAAGCATCATACCTCCACACTCTTCTATAAGATTGGCTATGGTTTCTGCTTCATCTTCAGCCATTTTTAATATATTACTTAGTCCATCCAGAACCACTTGCACAACTTGTGCATCTTTTACTGTCAGCAAATTGCAAAAGGGAGGTATTACATTTTGTTGAATTAAGTATGCCACCTAAGGGGAGAAAAAAAAAGCAAATTGTTAAATCAGGAGTGTGACAGAAGCAAGCAACACACCACAAGCATACACATAAGTAAGTTTAATGAAGTCCAAGTACTCAAAGTTACCCAACAAGGTCAGAGTATTTTGTAGCAGTCACTTTCAGAAATTGTTTTAGAACATTAAAAGGTAACATTTATGTGTTATGTTACAAATATTTCAAGTCTACAACAGGTAAGTAGTAGATACTGTGAATTTTTCAGTATTAGACAAGGAGTTTCAACCTAATCTTTGAAAGATGACATCATCCTGACAGGCTGAGAGAGTTGGGGCTGTTCAGCCTGGAGAAGAGAAGGCTCCGGGGAGATCTTAGAGCGACCTCCCAGTACCTGAAGGGGCTACAAGAAAGCTGGGGAGGGACTTTTCATAAGGGCAGTTAATGACAAAACAAGGGGAAATGGGTTTAAACTGAAAGAGGGGAGGTTTAGATGAGATATTAGGAAGAAGTTCTTCACTGTGAGGGTGGTCAGACGCTGGAACAGGTTGCCCAAGGAAGTTGTGGCTGCCCCCACGCTGGAAGTGTTCAAGGCCAGGCTGGATGAGGCTTTGAGCAACCTGGTCTAGTGGAAGGTGTCCCTGCTGCTGGCAGGGGGGTTGGAACTGGGTGAGCTTGAAGGTCCCTTCCAACCCAAACCAGTCTGGGATTCTATGATCCCCCAACCATGCCACAAATCTAATATTCTGGGTTTACAAGAAACTAGTATATTTCTACTCAATAGCTACTGTCCCTATAATTATCACACTCTTATCCACAGGGGAAAAAATTAAGAAAATAGAGATGTTGAATGACCAAGAATCTCATCAGAGCCTGAATGCAGTCACTCATAGCTACTAGGCAAAGAGCTTCCATCCAAACATACTCCTAATCTCAGGTCATTCCAGAAATGACAACTGAAGTTCACTCTTAAATCCCTTGTGGAAAAGGGAAGAGAGTTACTAAACATAGAAGGAATAGAGACATTTATAATCCTGACACAGGAGTTGTCTGCAACCAGCTGATGTACACTCAGACAGATAATGGACCTTTTCTTAAGGTCTGACTCACTTGGTCTTTTCTTCCGCTGATCGTTAAGTTGCTTATTGCCCAAGCAGCTTCTTTCTGAGTACCAAAGTCACCCTAAAAACAGAACCATAAATAGAAATAATCATTCCAGTTTTTATGTGACCTAGTATTCTAATAAAAGCTTGCATTTGTTACAGTCCATTCTGCATGGTATCAGCACATCAGTTCTCAGGAAGCAGGGAAGGTAGCCAACAAATCCTGTAGATATTCAAGTCTATTCACAGTGTTCATCCCTTCCCCTGCAACCATGTTTTTTAAATCAATTTTCCAGAGGAAGGGAAATTTGTTTGCAGCCAAGTAAATAAAAACTGTAGTACTCCACTCTCTCACATTCCTTATCAACAGCTGTCATACTACAGTGGGAGATAAGCAGTAAGTGTCAACTTTGATAAACCACTGTACGTCCTATAACTGTGTCTGCCTCTGAAGTTAATCAACTCAAGTCTGCTTATTAAATTTAAAGAGAAAGGTCAATAAATTGGCAGTTAACAGAAGTATTTGTGAACAGCTCGATGTTACTTAGGGGTAAAGACAAGTATTTCTTCAGTCTCAACCCCAGCCTCTACACTAAAGCAAGATATTGCATCTTTGTCATGGCTGAACACACCGTAAGGTTGGTATTTCTGGTTTCCCTCCACACTTCAGGAAAGGGAAAAAAAAAATAAAAATCAAGTAATGAATAAAGCAAAAAGTAGGAAATGCTCAAAAGACAGAAATGCTGAACTGTTCCCATTTAAAAACATGCTTTTAGCTACTCTTCCTTCCCACAAAGGAAGCAAAACTTGGTTTGGAAAATAAAAAAGATAATAAAAGCATTCATCTCAAGTTTCTTCTATTACTGAAAAGCAGCATACATCCATTCAGCACATGGTTTTTCTATGGGAAAAACTCTGAGCAAGCAAAACCTATTATTATTATTATTTTCTATAGCCACCTATTTTTTGTTGATGCAGTTTTACTTGTTTGGTTTTTTGTTTTTGTTTTTTTTTAATTATATATATGAGACAACCTCAGTCCATAATTGAGTGTCACAGGTCATTATTGGGGTTACTTTCAGACTAGATAAATGCCACTGGTGAGCACTTCCTTACGAAGTCCTTAAGCTTTGGCAAAGTGCTGGAAACTAACTCAATGCTGTTCCCATCCTCTTCACACCACATATGAGAGTAAAGAATTCTATCCTCATTGTTTATAAAGTGAGAAAAATAATTTAAGTGAGATTTAGAAGGACCTGAGATCCTCTGACCTGCCTCCTCTCCCAAATACATCTGGCACTCATCTCACAGCACTTCACAAAAGAACAGTAACCTATTTTATCTTGCAAAAGACAAGAATGCTCAAGGGTACAGTTTACCCCTGTCCCTCACATTGACAGTATGATGTAAAACACAAAGCAAGGAATTCAATGCCACTTTTTTCCCCCCAATTAAGAAAACAAACTGTTAAATCCTTCTTATCTCACTAACCTTATCTAGAAGATGTATTATCATTGGAACAAGGTTTGCGTCTATTACTGCCTGAACTTGCTGCTGATTTCCTGCAGTGATGTTAGACAGGAACCACACTGCTTCCTACAAAATAAAGAGATGTGAGAAATTAATAATTCAGATTGTCTTCTATATCTTATTTTATTTACACTCCAGCAAGATTTTATATATTCTCATTTTTAGATCTGCAATTCATAAACCAGTCAAACTTAAATACAACCAAGTTTGTATTTATAAATACAAATTTGATTTATCCTATCAGTTTGATTGTGGACTAGACACACAGGAAATTCATAAACTAGTGAAACTTAAATACAATCTAGTATACTATCAGTTTGATTGTGGACTAGACACACAGGCAGCAAGGTGGACAGTCTTGCCTTAGGAGACTCCACAAGACTCTTCAGTCCTTTGTTGTTACCAAGTTACAAGCAAATACTCCAAATCCACAGATTAAAAGGAAAAATTATTTGGAGACAAGAAAAGTCAACAGGGCTACAAATGAGCAGTTTTCAGTTGATGGTCAGATGAGCTCCAAAATTCAGACCATGTCTGGATTCTTATGTTAAAAAAGGATCTCCCTTTCTAAGTGGGAATTTTCTTGACTATACTTTAGTCCAGAAATAATGAACAGTTTCACATAAAATTTTAAGTATATTTAGGGTGTCACCTTTTTTTAATCTTACAGTTTAGAAATTTCTCCCTCCCTCGAACACTCTATCACTCCTTTTCAATTCCCTTCTCCTCACAACTTGTCTGACACAACAACGTTTTAGACAAATATTTCTCTCAACATGGGATTCAAATTCTCACATTTCATTCAACTGAGTCTCTCAGATCAGATCACAGGATCACTTTTATTAATGAACCTGTTAGAGATTTAGGATGCCTAGGCTTGTCTTGGTGGGCTTGTTTTGGGCTTTAATCATCGGCAATGTTGTGAAGTGACACCCCAGAAACTGAACAACATGCCTCAGATGCACTCCGGAATCAGCACTGCATTATCAGTGCCCCCATTAAAGCCTTTCTACACACACACACACACACATTCCCCACAACCCACCCCCAGTCTAACTTGGTTTAAATTCCATTTATCACACATACTCCATTCAAAATTACATCCAATTATCTCTATTTCATCATTTCCAAGAGAGTCAGTTTAATTAAAATGACATTTCACATATCAAGAACTCGTAACTTTTAAGTCAATAGCCAGAATTATAAGATAAAGCTTTAATTTCATAAAAATTCAATTAGAAAAATCAGGAAAAAAAACCATTCTTGTCAAGTACAAGTTTGCAGCTCCTTAAGAGATTATTCTACAGATGTTAACTTCAGGAAAAATTTCAGCACCCTGCCTGCTCTTGCCATAAACTGGTATTAAGTAGTCAATCACTCCAATCTCTGCCTCATTATTTTATGTGGAATCCTACACAGCTAAGCCAAATATAAAAATATATATATATATAAATTATCAATTGGGTGGAATCTCTGCAGTCACTTACCTTATTAATTTTTTCTTTGGGATGTGTCAGAAGTGCTGGAAAATGTGAAAGAGCTTCACAATTCAGAACTACCTGTGTCTGTTCATCGGTACCAGTGACAATGTTTCCTACGGCTCTCAGTGCAGCAGTCTGAAATAAAACACTTCTTTCTTTAAAGAGTTCTTTTAATCAAAGATTTTTCTAGTTCAGCACACACTTTCAAGCAGTAACAGTTAAAAAAAAAAAAACCAAAATGTTTTATGCAAATGCTATACCTCACAGGAAAAAGTACTCTTTATAAACTTCATCATGAACTATAAAAATAAACCAGCTACTTTCCTCTAGTATCATATTTTGAGCAACATTTCCTTAAAGTTATCCAAACTTACCTGCACTTTAACTTCTTGATGACTGAGAAGAGGAACCAAATGAGGGACTATTCCGGAGTCTATCACCATCTGGATCTGTTCATTGCCAGCATCCGTTAGATATGAGAGTGCCCAGACTGTATCTACCAATATCTAACAGTAAAAACATTTATTTATTAGCACAGAAGTACCATAAGTCTTATAAAAAAATACATTAAAACATAAAACTATTCTCATCGTGAAGCCAGAATTGATACAGCAAAATCCCACTTGGTTTTACAAGCTTCATACATTTCACTCTACAGAAGTCTAAAATACAACTGCTGTTCAACCTGTCCTAGCTCTGAAGAATACACAGAGATTAAAAACCAGCTAAACTGCTAATTACAGCTTAAATTCTGAAGGATATAATGAAAGCAATTCAATTATATCTGCTCTTTTCATGAAGTACTGGTGGACAATGTGAGATATGAAAGACTCACCCCTGGAAGGAAGATAAAGCTCTCACAAGTATTAAACTACAGGCATTTGGCACTCTCAAACCAATAAGCTACATCTTATGGCATCAACTTATATTTTCTTGATATTCCTCCACAAAATTTAAGAAAATCTTTGAATTTCTTTTTTTATTATCTGGTGAAGCAGCACTTAGACTGAATTTCCTGTGTGTGTGTGTGAACACGTGTGTATTGACACACAGAAAAGCCAATTTCAAGAGCAGGACACCTGAACATTTCAAGTAACAGCTTACAAAAAAAATGAGCGAGCACTGTCTCAGCTGACAACTCAACTGATTCACAAATACACAAGAAATTCAAATAAGCTTAATGTCACCTACTTATATACACGAAATCAAATAGTATAATTACTCTGCAAACTTTAATTAATACATTTAAACACATTGTGGTAAAGCACTGCTGCCGTTAACGACGACAACTGAGCTACAACTTCACTAGGAGGCAAAGAATTAACCTTAAACAGTTCTGACTTACATTTAGGCAAAAAGCTGACCTATTTCAGAATTTTAGTAGTCTCACTCATTTATTTCACTATTAAAATAACCTAACATTTGTATTTAACACCTCAGCAGTTACATCTAAAGCTAACATTTTACATATGCAGCAGACACTGATTTTTTTCATTTACACTGATTTTTGTTACAACCTCAAACTTAAGTGCTAGTCAAAAAAATCCTGTATTTATCTGTAAATGAATGTTCACAGAAATAAAACTGAAACTCCATTTTAAGTGTATGGAAAATACATGCAAATAAGCACTTGCAAAGACAGAGAAATACCAGGCAAAAATCATTAACTGATACTTAAAAATAAGCAGTTAAATATATTAAAAGTTTTGCCATGATGAAAGAGAACATCACAGGGGTGGTTTTTGGGGTTTTTTTTTTTAAAGAATAAAGTTAATTATGACAAGCTTTACACTTCAGCTAAAAAACTACAGCAGAATACAAAACTGGCTCTAAGTGGTGTTACTTACATTTACATCTGTGTGGTGAATTAAAACACAGAGCGCTGGAAGGATCTAAGGAGGGGAAAAAAAAGCATCTTACAGTTATTTTAAAAGCAGAGAGAGATTAAACTTCATCTTATTCACACTGAACAGTATTTTCAGTCACCTCCTGAATGGTTTCCATCGGCGGAGGAGGATCTTTGTGACGGCATAAGTTGACCATGACCCAAGTAACATTTCTTAAGAATGTTATGGGAATAGATGGGCTGATGAAGGACAGCAGTGGTTTCACTACTCCAAGACTAATAACGTAATCTCTACACTGGGGTCCATCACCTGGTTAAAAAAAAAATAAAAAAATCAAAGAATTTATGAAGACAAAGATTTCTCATGCTATTCACCAAAAAAATTAAAATAATAATAATAAAATAAAATACCTAACTTCTGCATACTTAAGACTTCAGTTACTTAAAATGCATATAAAGTTTATGAACATGGGCCTTGGAAAGATGCATGTAAGTACAGAGACTTACTTCTCTCTATAGATGCATCTATCATAAAGACACTTTTATAAGGCTTTAGTAGGACCTGTGGCTGCCTGCCTAATTGCTTCATTTGGAATTACTCATTAAAAGCAGCTAAATTCTTCACAGAAAAGTGTTCCATGATTTCTAGCAGATGTACAGGCTGGGGTGGTGGCAGACAAGGGAAAAGGGGTGGCAGATAATCCTGAACCACTAAGAACAGTTGATAGCCCAAGGTATTCCTAAAGATCCCTTCCCAAAGTTTCTAATGAATACTAAAATAGTTCAAAATTGCCTTAAAATAGATATTGCCACTTTTGTTTCTGAAAGACAAACACACTTTCATCACTGCCTAGGTATGACTAAAGTTGCTTCAAAATCAGAATCAGGCTTGCACTGCACACACCAACAGCTTCAGGCAGTTACAATACTGGGCTTTTTTGTTGGTTTGCTTCTTAAGAAGGACTAGGGATTTCTAAAACATCAGATTGTACAAATCTCAGTAGGTCAGAACCACCACGAGTCCTCCAGCACTACAGTCAGGGCTGTAGTAAACCATCTACACTGAACTGGCTAATGCCTGCATAAGAAAGAGGAAAATAAT